CTAACTCAACTCAACCTCTTCATTAACAGAACTAAGAAAACGAATACGAGACGTGGCAAAGAAAATGAAATAAAATAACTAATTGGCAATATAAGAGACTATAATGTTCAGACATCAGTTTGACGCTGTTCATGTTTATCCAGTGAACAGCTCAAGCTCCCCTCGACTTGTGGGGCTCGAGTTACAGCTCTCGCTAGTTCCCTTACTGCAGCATCGCCAAGTTCCTATTCTGAAAGGGAAACGCATTTGCTCAAAGACTGTCAGGGATTTAAAATCACTAGACTCGCCACAGGAGCAAGAAGCGGTACAATTAACAAGGGCTTTCAGTCTAAAGACGGAGGACGGATGACGAGATAAATGTTAGTACTCGGGTTTAATAAAACGGCATGCGGCTTTAAGAAAACTCTTTCACAGGGGTTCATAGACGGCTCAAATAAATGCGGGTTCAAAACAGTCTTATTTCAAAAGCGTATTGCAGCGCTTTCGGTATTTCCATGGTCTACAAGCTGAAGGAAGCGGAGAGACAACAGAATCTACAAAGTAAACAGTACATCTCTACAGTACAAGTTAGAGGTGTATTCAATGCTGAAAAGAGAAGAAAAGGAGCACAGCGCGTCACCTGAGGCTCCACTGCCGAACCGGTGTGCCTCCCTTCTCTTCCAGCAGAGAAAACCCCTGGACTCGTACCCGCGGACTCTGCGGACTCGCACGCCCGGCCACTCGGGCTGGGGTTTCTTACCAGCTCCTTCTCCTCCTGGCTTTTGTTGGGAGTTTCCAAGGAGCGCGCTTCCAGGGAGTCGTCGCAGAGCAGCAGGGAGAGGAGGAGCGAGCAGGTGAAAGCCAGCAGGAGCAGCCGGCTGCTGGCCATGGTGCTGAACGGTTCTGTCACAGGCGGTGTTCTCCAGAGCGCCGCCCGGCCCGCCGTTTTATACCCCTGCCTGACATCAGCAGCTGCAATATTTACACCCCGGTCCCGAGAGGCGTGATTGGGGTATTGATTTCCCTTCCTCACTCTTGTCTGACACGGCCCAAACTCCCCGCCCGCCCCCCGGCGAAAACTCCTTTAATGTCTTTTTTTTTTTTTATAAATGCATCAAACTTTTCCCATTAAAAAAAAAAAAGTTCCGTGCTGATTACTTTGGCAAGAAATCTCCCTTCGCAAACTTCAGATTGATGATGCAAAGAGAACAGGTCTGAAATCTGGGAAGAGACAATTTGGTTCTTTTCGGGTGGTTTTTTTTTATTTTTATTTTTGATGACCAGTCCAGAAACGCGAACAAGTGGTCCTCAGCGGGCACATGAACAGGCAGACGTCTGGTTTAGCTAGAGGAGCAATTCTGCGCCAGTAAGCTGGTGGCAGGTGCGTGTGCAGAGAGCAGCAGCCTTGCCGAGGTGCCGTCAGGTCTCAGAAGCTGCGCAAGGACCTGGCCGGGCTGGACTAGGGGACCTGGCAGGTAAGCCAGGCTGCTGCTGCAAATAGTGCTGGTGGACCAACAGGTGGCGCTCTTCTTTCTTCTTTCCGGACCAGAACTTCCAAGCCAATGCCCCAGTCTGATGACTGGAAGGACTGATGATAAATTATTAATGAATAACCGGTGACACAGTGGCGCAGTGGTAAGAAGTGTTGGACTGTGGCACTGGGGCCCTGGGGCCCTGGGTTCAATTTCCAGACCTGGGGTGCTGTCCGTGTGGAGTCTGCATGTTCTCCACATGTTCACAGGGTGCTCCGTTTTCCCCTCACTGTCAAAAACCATTCTGGTAGGTTAATTGGCTTCTGGGGAAACTGGCTCTAATGTGAGCGTGTCCGTGTGCCCTGCAATGCACTGGCGTCCCACCCAGGGTGTACCCTGCCTTGTGCCCATTGCAGATCCTTCAGGCCTGCCGTCAAAACTGACAACTCGTGTGTGATATCAGTACATTATAAACCTAGAACCTTGTTCATTCATCCTCAAACGGTTCAGTTTGACTGTGATGTCCGCCATAATTCCCCTTCTGTAAGAAGAAAATGCAATCAAGTGCACTGTAGCTTAGAAGTCTCTGAAAGTGTCTGGTGGAATCTGTCAGTGGCAAGGACGATACGACGGGCTTCTTTATAGAATCGACGGTGAAACGGGAAGCAGGGGACACAAGTGGAAACCACAGGCAAGTGGGCAATCGTCCCGAGGAAGGCAGGGGCAGTGCTGGAGCAGAGCACAGCTGAGCTCAAAGGGAGGAAGGAAGCAAAAAAAAAAAAACGATTCAAAACTCTGCAAAAGGCAAAAACTGTTCTTTTTTATTTTAATCACGCAGATGCTGACATTTCAAGACACCTGTCCTCCAAGAACTCCAGAACAAGAAACCTCAAGCCCTGCGTGTGCGGCCCACAAGCAGCGAGAGAAGAAAATCGTTCGAGGGCCCTGGTGCACGCAGTTCAGCCCGAGCCCCCGAGGAGGGACTCCCCAGTCTAATTGAAAAGGGCTTTTCTACAAACAGGACAAAATGTCACAGTGGCCTAACAAGGCAATTTATCAGCGCGCTTGATCAGAATGGGGTTCATTAGCACGCCAGTCCGGAACACAGGCGTGGCCTGGCTGACCCGATACGAACAGCCTTCTCTTCCTTTTTCCTAACCAATTAGGGTTAAAAGAAGACCTTTAAGTCTCTAGAGACTGAAATCACATTTTCTACACAGAAAGGAAAATCCCAAAACCTTTCCATGAGTAGGCAAGTAATAATTAGCTTCTATTGGCTCTTTTCTCGCTTTCTGTTAAGTGTGTGGCTCTGTGTGACTGAAACAAGCAAGACTATCTTTCCTTCAGCCAGCTGCTAGATTGAATCATAGATAATATCCAGACGGCAAAGACAGAACCTTGCAAAGAGAATCAAAGACATGATGAGCTACTTTCTAAAAGCACCTCTACCATGAAATCAAGCCCATGAGGAATCACCTTAGTTTTTAATTCTCGTCAACGATAAGGTCAGGCAGACTCCACACATGACCCTGCAACTTCACACTGCAATTTGCTCAAAATAAGTGAGGCTGGATAAGAGTGTAACGTGTGACTGTTTAATCACAGTACATTGTTTTTCAAACTTTGTTTGGTTAACACTATAGAAGGGCGTTTGCCCATGGTTTTATGTATTTGAAAAGCCACAAAACTCTCCATGTCCATAGAGATCCAGCAAGCCAGAGCCTAGCCCTGAAGGACTGGGCACCACATGGCCCCCACCCCTGGACAGCACGGGTCCCATTCAGACACACTCAGCCTGGCTCTGGGAGCTGCCTTGAGAAAACCCCAGCAGACCTGGTGAGAACACGCAGGGTCCACACAGAAGGCACCCCAGGCTGGGACTGAAGCCAAGATGCAAGAGCATTGAGGCTGCTGCACTAGAGCAGTCAAATGTCAGCAAAAACTACAAGGGGAAAAAAAAGACTAAAATATGCTGTCTTCCATTACCCCCAAGAACTGTCCCGTGTGAGCATTTAAGTTTTTAAAGATTCTCTTTAAAACAAACGTGTGGACGTTATTTGAAATTCAACAGAAAGGGGCGTCACTGGAAGGCTCAGGGAACTGCAAAGTCTTGATATCTGGTATCTGATATCTGTGTGGGATGTGTCTGTGTCTCTATGTGCCCTGCGATGGACTGGTCCTGTCTAGGGTATATTCTGCCTGACAACGCTCTTTATTTGTTTACAGCATCATACAGCAACACTAGCAAGTTAAAGTTGTAATCTATACAAAAATAAAAACCCAAAATGAAATACATTGGCTGTTTTGAACTTAATCTTGGCTGATCCTAAAGTAAAATGTCTGAATTCTGAGTCAATCCTTCCAGGACTCTGGTCTAGCCAGAAAGTGAGAGGACAGTCTGAGCACAGCTGCGATCGATACAGGTCTTAATCAGATCTGAGGACTGACGGCCCCCGGGGACTGTCTTTCAGCACCAGTCTGTATTCAGCAATTACTTCCTTTGCAGATAGCGGAGAAGATTTTCACCTGCTTATAATTACAGCCGGTTAAATATTTACACTCAGTTAGCCAGGAGAGAAAGGAGGAACAGGGGTAAAGGAACACTTGACCTGATCTCTGGAAAAGCAATTGGCCTTTGACATCAGACTCCAGGAAGGGACTGCAGAGCACAGAAGTAAATGGAGCTGGAGTCCCATCACATCACATTAACGCAAACACCCATGCAAGTCAATTACTGTATCTCCCGTGTGCAGCAAAAGTGACTCATTCTTTATTTGGATTCTTAAAAAGCCCTGTTACTCAAAAATATACATTTTTATGCTTAATGAATTTAGAGCTTAGAGACCAACTTATGTTACTTTACAAACTTTCCCGGAAGGAAAAATGGAGTTCTCCATTTAGCCATTTTTGAAAGAGCATATTTATCTTCTTACCTTTCTTCAGAAACGCTGACGATAAAAGCTTGCTAGGGAAACAAATTAAACATTATATTGCTTTTATTTAATGTGGATGCAGCCAAGGTTTATCAGGACACTGAGAACACATTTGTAGGCAGATGTATTACTACACTTTAAGGCTATTTTTAGGTGATGTGGGAAGGCTCGTATCCAGTATGAATCCTCAGTGCATCTCAGTAACACTGAAGGACATGTCCGATACCGGGCTCTCCCTGGGACCTGTCAGATTAGGAAAGACTCAGCTGGAATGCAGAACATTCCATGCATTGGGTTAGCATACTTAAAACAAGTTACACAAAAAATACTTGCTTATTACCCAAGGCTCAGTCATGAATTCAGACCAACAGCAGTAGATATTACACATTTAGAGCCACAAGGCGATGTAAATACTGGTCCGACACAGGGAGAAGTCACAGTCTGCAGCGTTTGATGCCAACACTTGCTCATGAATACAATGCACATAACCAGACAAGAAGAACAGACTATTCGATGTCCTGCATGACCCTGCATGATACATGGTGTAACAATGTAAAAACCATCATTCAGGTAAAGGCAGTCCTGAGACATACCTCAACAAACCTCGCGGAAAACTACACTGCCCGTGACACAAAACGGTCGTGATACATCCCGAAATATGACGGCCGCGCCTACGTCTGTTGCGTCTGGTTGCCCAAGAGCTTGCAGGCCACTTTGGGTCACTGACCTCTGGGCTTGGGGCCCAGCTCGCCCACCGCGGGGCGCCCCTCTGGTGGAGCCCTGAAGGGCCGAGGTGAAGCACGGGCTTCTGCTCTGCCTGCGGCAGGCTGTGCTCAGACTGCAGCAGCAGGCGAACGTACCTCTACTGAGTGGGCTTGCCCTGGCTCCATGTGGCCTTGGGCCTCGCGGGCTTTCTCCCTGCCGCTGTCCGTGTCTGTCTCGAGGCCTGCTCGCAGCAAGAGAGGGAAACAGTCACCCCAACCAGGACGGGCTACAGCTGGCGCCCACATCCACGGCGCCCCCGAACCCGGGTCTCTTACCATGTAGCTGCCAGTGTGGTAGCCACACAGGTACCAGGACAGGAGCAGGCTGGAGAGAGCCCCCAGGTCCTCGTCCGCGGCCTCGGCTCTCGCCCAGGGAGGGGGTGGGGGCAGGAAAGCCTGCCGGCACAGGGGAGAAAATGAGGAGCGCCCCCTTTTGGACGGGTGAGCCACAGCCAGGCAGGGACGGGCACACCCTGGCACAACTCTCCTTGAAGTCAGCTCCGCTACACAGACCAGGGAGGCTGACATGCCGACTAAACGCTTCTAGGCACAATGAAACCAACATGTCATCATGAACAGCTTCCTGTGCACAGCAAGGATGGGGGGTAATTGCTGAGCGTGTTGCTCACACATGCCCTGCAGTATCACCCATCTACTGTCGCTTGTATTCAGTTAAACGGTCCTTTTCTCTTTGACCCTTACAATTCTTTAATTGTATAACTGGAGCAATTGTTTTATTTTTTCCCCCACCTATTTCTGACAGCTGGCTGGGTCACACTGAACAATGCGGACATGTTTTGAAATGTTATGAAGCTGATGGTTCAGACATGGGCCTCTGACCTGTGAGGGGATTTAAGACAAACCACTTCAAGGTGAGCTGAAACTCACTCTGCCCAGTCAATAAACAGGACGCTAGGCTACAGTGAGACCTGCAGGACTTAGGGTCCGTACAGCAAGTTCCTTAAAGTCATAAACTGGGTGACAACGGCAGATTACTACCTCGTTAAGAACACCGTTATTTCCAAATGAACAAAGGATTCTGCTCCAGTGATACCAGCGGAAAGAAGAGAAACAGCCGTGCGCTCAATGAAAAGGTCACAAAACGATGTCACATCTGCCCAACCCAGTGGGACTCACCATGGAGCCATCATGCCCCGGAGGAGCAGGAGGGAAGAGGAAGGGCTGGCTGCTCCTGGGATGAGCACGATCCCGGCTCTCTCCCCAGAAGGCCCTGGCCCTGTCCTTCTCCCTCTCCTTCGCTGCTTTTGGTGGCTCGGTGCTGCTGCTTACGTGGTCTTCCTCAGCGTCCTAAAATCACGCGCACACAATCAGAGGGGTGGGGTCATCCAGGAAGACAACATCCCGAGATCTAGGAATTTATGGGAGGTTCAGTCAGAAGTCAGAACCAAAATGCTAAAGAACTGCCCAGGCAAAAGCAACTGCAACTGTTCAAAAACAAAACCCCCCGTTATCGTGTGTCCGAAGATAAATTCCGCGCTCTTCTTCCACCTTCAGCTTCGTAACAGCAGCTAAACACAGACGATCCCAGGCCTCCTGGGCCACTCTTCAAGCACAGCTGCTGTCCTGGCCCAGAAACACAGCCACTTCTCTCCTGCTCCCCCCCTGCTGTGATGCCGCAAGACGGATTAACATTTTATCAACAATTTTAACGCGTCGCTATATTTTTGATGAATGGGGACATGATTTGCACAGCCTCATACAAATGAATGGACAGAGCGGGTTAAGGTGCATGATGAAAGTCAGTCACCATGGTGCAGGAAATAGACTTAATCAGAGCGAATATAAAAAGCAGCAGTGTCACGCCTGATTTCACAAGACTGACAACACACAAAACGAAGCCATCCTTTCCAGAGGTTTGCACAGCCTCATGTGCCGTACTCCAGGATGCATATGTACTGGATACAGCAAGATGGCAACTGAAATAATCGTTTCTCCTTGGTGATATTGCAAGCAGCAAAGCCAGGGAACAACAGAACTAACTCTCACTCTTCGCCCAGTGAATGGCGAAAGGAGTTTCCATTCCACTGCTGAGGCAAGGCTGACAATGAAGACCCTGCATGGATCTGAGTGCAGGTCTCCACAAAAGGACATTGTCTGTTGTCCATTTTTTGATGCTGTGGGTCCAGAGCCAGAATAAATACAATAAATTAAACTGAAGCAGAGACTGATTCCACAAATGAATTGAAAAATGAAACAAAAGATACAGTTTTCGAGCCGTCTTGATTAACATTAGTCATCAATGGGGTTGATCAACAGAGGGCCTGCTTGGATGTGCACTTAAAGTAGAGAAAAGGCAGCTCTTTACGCAAAGGGTTGTGGGAGTATGAAACAAGAACCCCCGCTATGGCTGATAAAGCCAGTAACCAAACCCCCTCAGCCCTGTCCCTCCCTTGTAACGTTTCAGTGCTGAAGTAACCTTTACTTATTCCTTTCCAGGCTCTGGCAGTGGGGGCAGCTTCTGACTAAAGTATTTCAGATTCATGAATCCATGCACTTAAGAATGATTATGAATATTACATTAAAAACAATTACTCGATGAAAGGAAAACATGACAATAATGATCTACCAAGATCTAACTATCTTTTTTAACACACTAGGACAAGAGAGACCAGTGTCTCCAGTTTGATATTGAGTGAAAAGGGCTAAACTCTGCTCCCTGGTGGCCAACACAGCTATACTACGGCAACACAGGACAGCTCTGCAAGTACAGTACGTCCAGTGGGAATTCTCCATCACCTTTTCTTCTAAACTATCAAACTCTCTGGGCAAAATACATGTCATTTGATTTCCACACCTACACTGTCCATCCATCGATCCAATTACTTACCACTTCTTCCAATACCGATCCCAGGGGGCACTGGGCCCGAGGTGGGATACAAGCTGGACAGTCCACACACACACACACCTACACACACACCTCCACTTGCAACATCTACATTCCAAAAATAAACACCATTATCATTACCATTCTGTAATCCGAGCCGTCAGCTTTCATTGATGACTATTCTGTTCTTTCTAACCTTTTAAAGCACTTTATCATCCTGTGAGCCTCTGCAGCTAATCCTCACTGGGTCGCTGAGCGGAACTGTTAATCTGCAAGCTGTGCATTCACGCCCCTCTTCCTGATCAAATCCCTCCACACTGACGTACATACACCATACAGGGCTCTGACACACAGCAAACTAGTGTGATGAAATGCTGAGAACACTTGTCGTTCTGTGGACGAGAGTCTGACTGTCGCTGTCACACAGTGGGTAGGGCAGGGGGCGACAGTGGTGGGCCTGCAGCAGAGGATGAAGGGTCCCACAGCACTCTGACCGCAAGACTGACCTCTCGCTGCTGCCTGTCAGGCGGGTCTTTCTTGCCCTTCCTGCCAGCGTCCAGCAGCTCCGGGCGAGTCCTGTCCTCTTCTTCCTCCGAGCCCTGGGGAGAAGTGCTGGGGTTAAGAAACGCTTCCAAAGGGGTTTTGTTCGAAACGTTCTTTACACAGTGCCGCATAGCTGCCAGGTTCAATTCCTGGGGAGCAGTCTGTGTGGAGTTTGCATGTCCATGTGGGTTTCCTCTAGCTGTTCCTGTTTCCGCCCAAAGGGAAAAGACAATGTGAAGTTAATTGGCTTCTGGGAAAACTGGCCAGCTCTCCTGTGACCCCGAATTGGAAAACTGTTTAGAAAATGGATGGATGTTCTTTAAATTGCCTTTTTCAGGAACGTTGCTAAGTGGTAGACAGAAACATCAAACATCGCTACAGGAAGACTGAAAACACCCTTTCAGGACTCACCCAGGAAGACCCATTGGTTAGAGCTGCACTCCCACTGGGAATTACAAGCGGCCATCGCTGGTCCAAAAATAAAACAATTTAGGGGAGGGAATATCTAGAATGAATCCCCAAACTTCTCTAAAATCCTCCGTCTGGTACAGAAGGTAAAACTGTTCCCACTCGTGCACAGGAGGCTCGTGCGGTCCCCTGCCCTGCAGGCCCCCAGTCTCACCCCCCCCCGGCAGCCCACCTGTGTGTGCGTCTCGCAGGGCAGGAGGGCGTCCAGATCCACCTCCTCCTCGTTGCCGTAGCCCTCGAACCGCAGCAGGCCGCGCCCGCCCGCCACCGAGCGCAGCACCGCGGGGTACACCAGCCCGTCGCCCGACCACACCGCCCGGCACCGGGAGCCCACCTGCCACTGGGCGAAGAGAGGGAGGCAGGCTGAGGCCGAGCGCTGCTCCAGGGTGCCCAGGAGGAGACTGGTACCCCCACTGCACCTTTACACCCCTCAAACGACTGTCTGTCCGAGGCAAGTGAACAACAGGAAATAAGCCCAGCCTTCCCAAGACCCAGTCAGCTGTGATTGCACAGCATGACTGAGTCATTCTGGACATTTTTACAAAAAATAGGAAACGCCAATCATTTTGCGTTTTCAGTGGCCTTTCAGGCTCGAGGTGCCAGCTGACGCCTCCCCCGGCTCCTCCGCTCCTGCAGGAGACTGCGCGCTGGCTGGGGCAGCAGCGCACCTGCTGGGGACACCCAAACCCTGGGTGGAGCTGTACCTGTGCGCTCATATCCTCTGCGCTCTCCCCGACTCCATCGGACTCCGAGCCCCCCTCGCCCTCCCGCCCAGGGGCCTCTCCCGCTTCCGGCTCCTAGGAGACAGGGGGAAGACAGGCAAGGCATCAGGGAGCAGTCGCCGGGATAGGTCGGCAGAGCGATCCGGCGTCGCGTCAGACTCACCCGAAACGACCTCACCGCCTTCTCGTAAGCTTTAATCAAGGCCGAATCGTCCTCTCCCACAGACTCGCTCGTCTGCAGAGGAAAAGAAACCCAGCCTGAATATCCGTCAGACCAAAAGAGTTTGGAACTGACGCTCGACCCGTAGTCCGCGCTGGAGCCAGATACATCTATAGGAAATAGAGTATATCCGATCTTGCGGGGTTTGCTCCCAACATTATTAAATATTATTAAAGGACCTGACTTTGCCTAATTGAAGATTATTTAAGTTTTTCATTTGCAATTCGTTCATTTCTGGAAGAGTATAAACACCACAGAACAACCTCTGTCACGAAATTAGGTTTGAACTTATAACAACTCCAGTTTACTTCGTCCAAATTCGAATTTTAATTTTAATAAAACAAGACAACGGTGCAATGTCTGACGAAACGTTATCCGGTCAAAACGCAATGTGTCAAGACACTGTAAGTACGTTGGGGTCAGTAATCAAACTGCAGGACACCTTCATTTAATCCACATCTTTCATCCGTAAATTGAAAATACTTACACTATTGCTAAGTATCGTAAAGTGTAACAGCACAAAAAATGCTAAACCAAACATGAAAACTCACATTGTTACCGCTTCTTAGATACACTATTTCTCCGTGGCATTCAGCCATTTCAAAACATATACTAATAAAGGCAATCTGTACTACACAAAATAAAAGATAGCCATCTTTACTTCCAACAGTACACTCCTGTTAGCGTCTTCGGAGAACGCACGACAACACGTGGGCTGATAGGTAGCGGGGCATAATGGGAGATGTAGTTCTCAAGAGAACTTGGACATTTAGACCTCTACCGTGGTGCAATATCGACCCCTTGTGGGCAGAAGGACTAATCAAACACATTATTTTAATTTCAACTGTTTCTTTTAAACGAATAGTTCGCATGTAAGTAGATATACTTAAAATGTTCAGCTTTTTTTCCTTCCATCTTTTTTTGTGAGTTTACAGTTACATTAATCGAACTATTAACATTGT